GGAGGGGAGGGGAGGGGAGGGGAGAGGGTTTACGGGGCGCATGTGAGGGGGACGGAGTATCAGGGGCCAGGCGAGGAAGGCGGACTCCCTTGCCGATCACGAGGAGACGTTGGAGATGTCGTTAAGCGGTTAGGGTAGTTAAGCGGTGTTACTTGGCGAGGCGATGCTAATGAGACAGTTAATGTACGACGCCTGTACGGAAAACCTGATGGCGTCCTAATGGCGTTTTCCGTACTCCTGGTGCCGCATGTTATTTTTCCTTTTTGTTGTTCGCTTAATCTGTACAGGGCTGCCGGTCCTTCTTTCCTAGCTGTTTAACAGCCGAACAACAGAGCTAGATGTAATCATGGATGAACCAATAAATTGCATCAGCCATAGAACGCAGCTGCGAGGGCATGCACCTGAATAGTAAGGGTCAAAAACACGAAACGAAACACTAGGCAGTGGGAGGGACGCAAGGCAAAAAGGTTGGTGCGTGGTATTGAATGCGGCTACAGTACACATCTACTTGGCCGCCAAAGCATCGACAACAGGGCGTGACATCGAGGACAGCTGTTGTTGCCGCGAGCAGAAAACGGCATGATTTGCATTCAGCGCGGGTAGTTGGGGATAACACTGCAGTCCGGGTTTTAGGGTTTTAGGGTTTTATTTGTTATGCACCAAAACCACATTCCTGACGGCCCATCCAGGGCACCTTAACCGAACGACAGGAAGGGATGCCACACAGAACCGCGAACTGCTGTACGGAAGGAATGCCAAGGAATGCCTTCATCGTACGCGCAGGTCGACTCCACTCCAACAACAGCCATAACCGTTAACCGTTAACGAATACCCACCCGGGCGCGCACGTGCCAGTGCTCCTCCAGGGCCTCTTTCCCCCCCCCAAAATAAAACCCCCACCTGTGTGACCTGCACGCGTCGGTGATCGCCGCCTCGCCGCCGTGGGCGCAACTTTCCAGATCTGTGTCGTACGATGTGCACGAAACCCCGGACAACCAAACCCTAGTGTCACCGTGGGTGCCGGGCTGGGGGGGGCGGCCCTCTGGGCTGGGGGAAACCCTGACTGCCAGACCACTGGCGAAGCCCAATTGCCTGCGCCGTGGCTCGAGGGAGGGTTTGAAGGCGGGGTCACGTCGGATCGGCTCAGGTGTGGCGGCAACCAGGGGATGGGGCACATACAAAGTCCTATGGGACCAGGGGGAAGAAGGCAGAAGGCGAGAAGAGGCGGGAATTCTTTGTTCGCGACACCTCCTCCACAACACTACAATGTGATGTCCTTATGTGATCCTTAGGTTCCTTCCTGCGACAAAAGGCCTCCTTCCGTTGCGCCTTCCTGCCGTACCTGCACACAACAGCAGCATCCGCGTCATCCCAACCGTCGTCACAAACGGTGCCCCATTGACCATCCTTGCAGTACTGTACGATACCCTCCCTGGAGAGACTGCCCGCCACCAGCCGTACGGCACCCTCCTGGCCCGGGCCTGCGAGTTGCCGAGGGAGCGGATTGCGTTGCATTAGGATGGAAAAAACCCGCACGCACGCACATGCTTTGTCGAGGCTACAGTTATATGACGCGACATCTGAGTAGTCAATGGGATCTCACACGTACATACATACATACATACATACATACATACATACATACATACATACATACATACATACATACATACATACATACATACATACATACATACATACATACATACATACATACATACATACATACATACATACATACATACATACATACATACATACATACATACATACACACACAGGGTCGCACACCCTCGGTCGAGCAGGAGGGGACTGTGGCCCCTCCCGCCCTTCTCCTCCCGCTACGGGGAGAGCGCTTACTAGGCGGTCGTTCCCGCTGGGGTACGGCGGTTAGGTGTCCCTGGCCAGCATAAAAGCCCGGATCGATGTGTAACAAAGAGGCATACACACAGCACTCACATACGCTGTCACGAACACGTGCACGAGCAAATAGCAGAGCACACGACAACCCGCGTGTTTCTGCCCTCGCACAATCCCCCGCGTCCCCTTCCACCCCAAGCCACAGAAGGGGCCTTGGCCCAGCGCCTACCAAAACCCCCAAAACCTACAAAACCCCAACAAAAGCTTAAACCATACTTTTTAAGTTCAAAAATGTCAATGTTCGCCCCCAAAGCCCCCCAATATCCCCCCCCGATCCCCAATCCCCGCAACCGTACATAGAGCGATATCATCGTCGTACGATAGCGCCGACAGCGCCCTTGCCGACGGCAACGCTTCGGGCAGGTAGGGCAGCTCAGGTGGTTGGGACGAAACTGGAGGTTCCAGCGGCCCGTACGGCGGCGACAACCGCTGTACGGAGGATATGGTGGATTCCGGCCACTGCCTGATAGCCAGCTTAGCGCTTTTGGGTGGCGGCTGCGACTTCGGCTTGGGTGGCGGTCGGGGATTTGCGGGTGGTCGTCGGTTTGGCGGCGGTCGCCGGCCTGACGGTCGCGGCGGCGGCGGCGGCTGTGACGGCTCCGTAGGAAAGTCTGGGAAATCTGGCCAGTTGGGAAGAAGGCCATATGGTTCTGGGTCGAGCGGTTGTGGCGATGGGTGTGGCGGTATTGCAGGAGGTGCTCGCCTAGGCGCGGGTGAGGGTGAGGGTGAGGG